GCAGACAATCCACATTATCTGCTTTGAAATGGATTGTATGTGTCTACACTGTCATATAATCCAGTTTGAACTGTATTGTAATGGTCACTGTAGACTCATATAATGCAGATTTTAATACATTGAACTGGAGTATATGAGTCTACATTGCCATATAATGCAGTCAATCTGCATTCTGAAACTGGATTATATGGCAGTGTTCGTGGGGCCCAGTGTCGTCTGCTAACATTGACACCACAGTGCTAGCTGTTTCCCATCTTTACCTGGTAGTAATTCTCAGTGGATACTGTGAGTCAGACCCAGATTATTCAAGCCTGGAATAGAGCCATTGCAATAACCAGACATTTGGCGTTTGTAAATCCCTGCTCACTCTACTTTTAACTGCCATGGCTGTGTTCTGGGAAGTGTAGTTTATTGTGCATTTACATGGCAGAATTAATGCAATATTAACTCTATTTTGACTGCCATGGCTCAATGTGATGGAATCCTGAGAGTTGTAGTTTGGTAAGGCACCAGCGCACCCAGGAAGGGAAGGCTAAAGACCTTATGAATCTATGAGGGTTATCCAGAAAGTAAGGTTACAATATTTTTTTAATATAATGAATGAATATATTTTAATAAAACATACATGGATTATAGCATGTATAGCATTTTTCCACATAATCACCATTCAGTTCAATACATTTTGGCATCCGTGGAATGGGTTTGTGATGCCTGTGTCATAGAAGTTTTCCTCCACCTTTTGCAGCCAGTTCGTAACTTCAGTGTTCACCTCGTTATCATCGGAAAAGTGTTTCCCACCAAGGTGCTCCTTCAATTTAGTTAACAAGTGATAGTCACTGGGTGCGAGATTGGGACTGTGAGAGGGGTGGCTTAAAACATCCCAACCAAATGAAGTCAACAACTCGTGTTGCATGAGCGGTGTGCGGACACGCATTGTCATGAAGAAGACAGACTCCTGTTATCAGCATCCCATGATGGGTTTTTTTTGTTTGTTTTTTTTTATGGCTCTGCAAAGTTTCTTCATGGTCTCACAATATATTCCGTACCCATTTTGTGACCTGTTGTCTTGACATTACATTCTCTCCATAAAGTAAAACAATTTTGTGTTGAATAGTAGCTGCATTCATGCCCTTAGCATTTAGGTAGCATATTACAGCGTGAACTTCTCACTTGGGGAGAAACAGAATGAGGATGCTCATCTCTAACCTTCACAATGCCATTCGATGAGCTACTGATGACAAACACTGCTCGTTCACTTCCACTGGCTTCCTGTTATAGGGCTGTGATACCAACTTCTCCTGAGAAAATTCCTCGCGAGAGTGTGCCTTGTAACCTTACTTTCCAGATAGCCCTTGTATAATTCCCATAATTCCATAGCATTGAGTCACAGCAGTTAAAGTGGTGTCAATACTACAGTGTAGTATTAAAGTGGTGCATTAATACTACAGTGTAGTTGTGCCCTTTCTTTCTTTCGGTAGTCTGTCCAGTTTCTACAGAGGGTGGGCAACATAGAAATGACCCACTCCTGCACCACTGGATCTTTTCTAGTAGAAAATACAAGATTTTCCTCCCCTTTCTGGCATTTTTTCACAGTTGGATTCTGGACTGACCTACACAGAAGCAGCCTCTTTGCTGAGTTCAAAGAGACTTACTGGGCATACCTGTCTCTCAACACAATGGTTAGTCCTAACTAGAATATATTCATACGATCAATCACATTTATGGAAATCTCGATTTTCCATGGACTCATTATTATAGTTGCTCTGCTCTAGTTGAGTGTAGTAATTAGCAGTTTAGGGTAGAATAATTCTGCAAAGGGTTTGTGTGTCCTGAAAGGAAAGTCTTGGCGAGATCAGTCAAAGCGTGTTCCCAGAGCAGAGCTCATAGGCTTGTAGCCTTTGGTGAGCCCCTTTGATTTGTTTCTAATAACTTTAGATTGGAAAAATGCAGTTGGAACAAGATGTTTCACAACAGTGGACAGATGGTAAGATCACCTCTGCCCTTGTTTCCTTTTGTATCTGATGGCAGAATGTAGATGCTTCAGAGTTTTCTATGGGAAAGGGGACAATGCAATATTTCATGAGTCCTTCTCCTAGACCCCTTCTACACTGCCATATAATCCAGGCGATCAAAGCAGACAATCCACATTGAACTGGATTATATGAGTCTACACTGCCAGATAATCCAGTTCAAAGCAGATACTCTGGATTTTATATGGCAGTGTAGAAGGGGCCCTAGAGACCACTACTTAGGCTCCAATCCACACACTTGCTCCAAGTTGTTGGAGATCCCAAATACTTTTAAAGTGTGTATCTGTATTGGCTCTTAAACCACATATGCTTGCAAGAACCCCTCCCCCCTTTAATATTTCAAGGGTCTGTTGACTTCATGAAGTGTGCACAATATGTCATCCTTGGAAGGAATGTGCAATATGTGGTTTGTATAGCTTCTACAGGGTCTGGGCAAATTTGCAGCATATATACCCAGGGGACTGGGTGGTAGGATCCTTAGGGGCAAGTGACCATGTGCTCCTGCAATTTGAGGTACAAAGGAAGGCCGAAACTAAGACAAGTCAAACCCGCATTTTGGACTTTAGGAGAGCTGATTTCCAAAAAATGAAGGAAACGCTGAGCAGCATTCCATGGACACAGATACTAAAAGACAAGGGAGTTACGGATGGATGGGAATTTCTCAAGAGTGAAATACTCAAGGCGCAATTGCAAACCGTGCCAACAAAGAGAAAAAATAGGACAAGTGCAAAGAAGCCAAAATGGATGTCCAAAGAACTTCTAACTGTGCTAAGACACAAAAGAGACATGCACAAGAAGTGGAAAAAGGGAGAAATCACCAAAGAAGAATTCAAACAAATAGCCAACACCTGTAGGGAAAAGGTCCGCAAGGCTAAAGCAAAAAAACGAGCTCAGGCTTTCCAGGGACATTAAAAACAATAAAAAGGGCTTCTATTCTTATGTCAGTAGAAAAAGGAAAAACAAGGAGGCGATAGGACCTCTTCGAGGAGAAGATGGGGCAATGCTGACAGGGGATAGGGAAGAGGCAGAACTACTTAATGCCTTCTTTGCCTCGGTCTTCTCACAAAAAGAGAGTCTTCAACCTCAGCAAGATGGAGTGGATGAGGGATTGGAGGACATCCAACCCCAAATTGGGAAAGAAGTCGTCCAGGAATGCCTGGCCGCTCTTAATGAGTTCAAGTCCCCAGGGCCAGATCAACTACACCCCAGAGTATTGAAGGAACTAGCGGAAGTCATTTCGGAACCATTGGCAACCATCTTTGAGAGTTCTTGGAGAACGGGAGAAGTTCCAGCAGATTGGAGGAGGGCCAATGTGGTCCCAATCTTCAAGAAGGGAAAAAAGGATGACCCAAACAACTACCGTCCGGTCAGCCTCACGTCGATACTGGGCAAGATTCTGGAAAAGATTGTTAAGGAAGCGGTCTGCAAACACTTAGAAACAAATGCAGTCATCGCTAATAGTCAACATGGATTTATCAAAAACAAGTCATGCCAGACTAATCTGATCTCTTTCTTCGATAGAGCTACAAGCTGGGTAGATGCGGGGAATGCCGTGGATGTAGCGTACCTGGATTTCATTAAGGCCTTCGACAAGGTCCCCCATGACCTTCTGGCAAGGAAACTAGTCCAATGTGGGCTAGGCAAAACTACGGTGAGGTGGATCTGTAATTGGTTAAGTGGACGAACACAGAGCGTGCTCACTAATGCTTCCTCTTCATCTTGGAAAGAAGTGACAAGTGGAGTGCCGCAGGGTTCCGTCCTGGGCCCGGTCCTGTTCAACATCTTTATTAATGACTTATATGAAGGGCTAGAAGGCATGATCATCAAGTTTGCAGACGACACCAAATTGGGAGGGATAGCCAATACTCCAGAGGACAGGAGCAGAATTCAAAACGATCTTGACAGATTAGAGAGATGGGCCAAAACTAACAAAATGAAGTTCAACAGTGACAAATGCAAGATACTCCACTTTGGCAGAAAAAACGAAATGCAAAGATACAGAATGGGGGATGCCTGGCTCGAGAGCAGTACGTGTGAAAAAGATCTTGGAGTCCTCATGGACAACAAGTTAAACATGAGCCAACAATGTGGTGTGGCGGCAAAAAAAGCCAATGGGATTTTGGCCTGCATCAATAGGAGCATAGTGTCTAGATCTAGGGAAGTAATGCTACCCCTCTATTCTGCTTTGGTTAGACCACACCTGGAATATTGTGTCCAATTCTGGGCACCACAATTCAAGAGAGATATTGACAAGCTGGAATGTGTCCAGAGAAGGGCGACTAAAATGATCAAGGGTCTGGAGAACAAGCCCTATGAGGAGCGGCTTAGGGAACTGGGCATGTTTAGCCTGAAGAAGAGAAGGCTGAGAGGAGATATGATAGCCATGTATAAATATGTGAGAGGAAGCCACAGGGAGGAGGGAGCAAGCTTGTTTTCTGCTTCCTTGGAGACTAGGACGCGGAACAATGGCTTCAAACTACAAGAGAGGAGATTCCATCTGAACATTAGGAAGAACTTCCTGACTGTGAGAGCCGTTCAGCAGTGGAACTCTCTGCCCCGGAGTGTGGTGGAGGCTCCTTCTTTGGAAGCTTTTAAACAGAGGCTGGATGGCCATCTGTCAGGGGTGATTTGAATTCAATATTCCTGCTTCTTGGCAAGGGGTTGGACTGGATGGCCCATGAGGTCTCTTCCAACTCTTTGATTCTATGATTCTATGACTTTGTGACCCACACAGTCAATTCATTTTGTGGTTGCTGGGGGGGATTATTATTATTCCGAAGGAAAGTAGTCAGTTACATATTTTTCCCTTAAGTAGGAACTTTCTGGGGTTGGGCATCTGTAATATTCTCCAAATGGGCAAAAAAGTCATTGGGTCTGAGAATCAGGAGGTGGGAAATCCATCATGACACCCATGCGCCTTCACAGACTCAGAGAGAGAGAGAGAGAGAGAGAGAGAGAGAGAGAGAGAGAGCAATTGAGCATGTGTGCTTCTTTCTCTTCCCCTCTGGATGCAGGAGGAATCCTGGGACGCGATTGCTGCCTTTCTGGCTTGTCTCCTATCCCCCTCCCTTTTGGCATCACAAGGAGAGGAGAGAGGGGGGGGGGGGAGAGGTTGACCCTCTGTTTCCCTGATCAATTGCTGAGTATTTGATTTGAAGGAGTCTCCTCCCCTTTCGACACCCGCCTCCTTTGCGATCGTGTGAAAGCCAGCCAGGCAGCAGGGAAGATAATCTATTCAGCTGAAGGCAGAGAAGAAGACAAGGAGGAGAGATGGTGAGCGGATTTGATTTGGGTCATGGGGTGGGGGGGCAGTGGGGGGAGAGGAATGAATGGGCCTGTGGGCTGTGTGCTTGGCTTGCTGCGAGGCGGACATTCCTCCTCCCCACCCTGCACAAGCTGGACCAGGCTGCTTTGTGTTTTTGGCTCAGAGAACTGCAGCTTCGGCTTCCCTCTCTGTTTTATTTTTCATGGCAGTGGGCTTGGAATCATCCCTGGCGGAGGATCATCATGTGCGGTTCTGGGCTCGTTGTTTCAAATGCGGTTGGATCACTAGGAGAAAGGCGTTTCTTTCTTTAAAAAAAAAAAAGATCCGCATATGCCAAGGGCTCAACAACCAGGCATTGTGCCCTGTGGGAAACCCTGCAATGCTCTGGGTTCCTGTCCTGGTTTGTCATGGAGGGAAGCTGGAGCCTTTCTCTCCCTCCCTCTCTCTCTTAGGGTTGCATTGTGCATGCCCAAGACCCAGCCATTCATTAAAGCCCCATTTCCTTGGTGGATGGTGGTTCTTCTCTCCCCTCAGCCTTCAGCTTTCTTATCCTCGGAAAGTGGCTTTTCTTCAACTTCTCTGATGCTTGCAGGGTTGAGGACAGTTGTAAAGAACTTGCGGGAACTCTTTGGGGGCGGGGGGGGGGGGYGGCAAGCTGCAACCCATCACCACAGTGTGGCTGAGTTTGCTGGAACCAAGGAAAACTCCTACTTACCTGCTTGTAAGATAGGCACAAGGAATGAGCTGGCAAGGGCTTCCTAAGGTTGCACCTCTCCTGCCTGCTTTCCTGAGAAAGACCCCCCACTGAGTGTAGTAGGGTTTACTTCTGAATAGGAGTATGTAAGGCAGGCAATATTGCAGTGGGTCTCACCCCATGCTGCAGAACCTTTCCTTGCTTTTTATTCTCCCTGGGGCTCATTGTGCTTTCTCCAGGGACCACTTGGATATTTCAGAACAGGAAATACTTGCAGATGAATGTGTATTTTCTTTTGCAGAGTGAGGACAAGGTTTATTTTGGTCCTGCTATTAAAAAGAGAGTCCTTCTCCTGGTGACAGCATATTGACGCGTGCTGATGGTATCAGCCCTGGGGTGGCATGCTGCAGTCTTGTTTAAGTGGGGCTTGGCAGTTTAAGCTTCTAGAGAGATTGGATGTGATCTAAGTTACAAAATTGTAGAAGAAGCCTGACTGTGTAGGAACTGGGCATTGATTTTTATGCCACACTTCAGGAGTACGCAAATTGGGGGAGAGGATAGCTTTGGCATTAAGCTGCTTTCTCAGCATGCAATGTCTTTTGGAAACAGCACCCAAGGTTTAGCATGTTTTTGGCAAACTGGAAATGCTGGCTAATGCTGGAGAGCACTGTGAAAGAACAGCTGTTAGTCTCCATCTCTTTCATCAGATGTCCTTGTAATGTAGGAAATGGTTATATGATGTGCCCCGTTAAGCAAATGGTGCTGTAAGTTTTTCCTTGAAGAAACCAACTTGGTAACTCTTAAGAACACAGGCAAGTTAATTGTACTTCCAAGTCTTACTGCTGTAGAATTTCTGATCCGAGTCTTACTTATATGGTAGTTTTCAAGTGGTAGGTGCCACTTGCTTCTGCAGTCCAAAAAGTGAGGTTGAATCCATAAAAGTGCATGCTAAAATAAAAAAAACCACTGGTACAATTCTTTTTTCCCTCCCCTCCCTTCCTCCATTTTATTTTTAACATATATGCTGTATTTTTTTCCAACCTTAATTCTGATCTAGCCATTGCTGCCACCATAAGTTACTGTAGCCCATCTTGACCCAGGTTGAAAGTTATGTATGCATCTTGGTTTTCACCTGGTTATTTAAAATTGCCTGCCAAAGGTTTTAAAAATGCAGTTTGTATGGAAGGAGTGGCACAAAGTTAGCAAAATGCAGCGCTGGTAACTCCCATTCTTTCTCCCGCCTCTTTCTCTGCCGTGTCTTTCTGGCAGCACCAAATTCTTCTGTCACAACTGTAGTTAACAAATCACTTACAAATCTTACCTTGGAGATTGTCTATTTGTAAACTCATCATAGTTGTAGAAATCTAAATCGGTGCATCTTGTTTTTCTTTAGTGCAATTTGCTAAATCTCCATAAATGTCTCTCTGGAGGGTAGGTCTGCCTAGGCTCTGAAAACAAAAAATCTATCAGAAAACTTGTTAGAGCTGTTGTAACATCAGATCTATAATTTGTTGCTTTTAATATTTGATTGTATCAATATAAACCACTCACATAAACTATTAAGGAATTCCTTCTAGTTGCTAAAAGGAGGGGGGAAATGCTTACGTGTTTCTTCTCCTCACATAATAAGATCACACTTGGGTTGTAAGAAACATTTATTTCTACTGGAAGCAATGATTGTTTCTGCCCCCTGATTTTCTTTTTACCTGAAGCTCAAGGATTCTCTGTGCCAGAAATGCAAAGGCTCAGGAATGGAGATTGGAAGGCAAAATGGTCCCTTGGATAGTAGCCCATCTGTCCCTTGGAAAGACTCTCCAAAGAGCCTGAGATGAACCTCTTTTGTTCTTCACAAGCATCACCTTATGCATCACACTCCCATTTTTACCTCCCCACTGCTTGACATGGTCCAAAGCAATTAGTATCTTTAAAAATGTTCAAAGTAATCAGATCTTCATTATATGATATTCTTGAGAACAGGAACTGAAAGTAGGATGTGATTTTGCACTTCTTTGTAACTTTGACCATAGAAAGAGACTAGACTGACATGAGTTTCCAACAGAACTGGAAAGCCGCCATTAGCCATGGCTTTCTGTGGCCAGAAAGTGCTTTTACTTAAGGCTAGCTCCATTGCTAAGTGCCCAGAAGTTGCTAACTTGCCAAAAAAAATCTTTCATCTGCTTTTTTTCTTCATCAGTAAAAAAAAAAGCAGACAACTATAGTTTTGCATACCAAAAGCACAGGAGGCTGGTGGCGGAGGCATGGGGTGTTGCTTTGCTTTGTTGATCCAGTTAATTTGCCATCTTTAGCATATCAGTGGGTTCTACTGGTCTTGCAGAGGCACTATCCTCCCCTCACTTCACTCCATCTACATCTGTACTGACTATGGAGGCAGGCTTCATTTCTTGTGACTAGTATGAAAGCTGAGCAAACTAGCAAAGAAGGGATGCAAATTGTCAGTGGTGACCTGGTGAGTGGTTAAATATAAACTTCTCTCGCTCTGGTGGAAACTCTTTGTGTGTGTGTGTGTGTGTATGGCAATTATGGTTTGCTCTTCCCTTGAACTGCCTACAAACACTACAGCTGTGGGAAATGCTTTACATTTTCTGTTCTGTTCTGTCTCTTATGAGGGTCAAGGAAATCTTTCCTAGCTACCTACCCCCTTTAAAACCTTTTCAGTTTTCAAATCCCTTGATTTCTTCATCTTCATGATTATTATATATCTGTTTGCTGTTCTGTTATGAAGAGTGACACAATCAGGTTGGCAAAAGGCAAGTTGCTAGAGCAAGCAAGGATTTAATGACAGGGCTACAGACTATAAAATGAAGAAATTAAGCTTTTTGGTTGGCATTTTGCTGCAAATCTGTGGTGATTCAGGTTCAGCAGAATAAAGATCTGCAGAATCTGTATAGGTATTAAGGTACAACCCAAAACCAAATTGGAAAGAGGTTTCAGCCTGATCTTGTTCTGTTCCTTAAACCACATCCCGATCAATAAAAACCTTGGATTGGTGATTTCCAGGGTATTTTCTGACAGCATGGCAATTCCTCTGACTTTCAGGGAATAAAAAGGCAAAGGGAAATGGGGAAATACTTTTCCAAGTGCTCGATAGATGGTTTTTATTTTTTTATTTTGAAACAGGACAAGTGTTTCACAATAAAAACCATCTGCAGAGCACCCCTTTCCCGTGCTCTCTAGTATTTGCCTCTTCGGGGAATAAAAATGTCCTACATCCACATGGTTGCTTGTGGATTCAGGATGAAGGACTTTTTAAAGGATCCAGGGACCCAGAAACAGAAAGCATTTGTTCATGTTTGGTGGGAAATGGGATTTGAGTATCGGACACACCTCCTTTTCTGCAAAAAATGGAGCCAATATGACTTGTTTACTCTGAATATTACTGCCACTGTGACTGCTTACCTCAGTTTCAAATTCTTCAGACAAATTTGGCATGTCATTTGAATACTGCAGTGGTCTTGCAAGCCTATTTCCCACATGTTTTATTTGTGTCAAACATATGTTAAGCTGACTTCCTGGCAGGTCTAACCTGATGAAAAAAAATCTCTTATTTTGTCCACTATGGGTATATGGTTCAACTTGTATTGCCACCACACTGTCACCAAGCTTGTATTTCCATTGTGCCCCAGGGGGCCAGCCTAGGCAAATGTCTCCCTTCGAAGTGTAGAATGCCATTGCATGGCAGCATCGGCACACATTCGGCTATATATTTCTTGATTTACTTGGCATATACTATTGGAATGGGCATTTACCTCTTAATTCAGTCAGTTGTACAGCAGTGGTTAGATCAATCCTTGGTGTGTGTGTAGCACAATTAGTGGTGTCCAACAAACAGCCAGTTTATCAGTGATGCTATGTACCACTTTGGTGGTGCAGTGGATTAAACCGCTGAGCTGCTGCACTTGCTGACTGAAAGGCCACCAGTTCGAATCTAGGAAGCAGGGTGAGCTCCCACTGTTTGCCCCAGCTTCTGCCAATCTAGCAGTTAAAAAACATGCAAATGTGAGTATATCAATAGGTACCGCTTCGGCAGGAAACTAACGGTGCTCCATGCAGTCATGCTGGCCACATGACCTTGGAGGTGTCTATGGACAACACTGGCTCTTTGGCTTAGAAATGGAGATGAGCACCAGCCCCCAGAGTCAGACATGACTGGACTTAATGTCAGGGGAAAACCTTTACCTTTACTATGTACCACTTTAGTTTTTCTTTTCTCAAACCGCAAGGGCAGAATTGTCCAAACTCTGTGCTGCAACATATTGCATATGTGTCAGTTGCAGTATGTTGGTGTGCTATACA